TAATAAATCAGCATATTAGAATGATTTCTGAAGATCATGTGACACTGAAGACTGGAGTAATGAAGCTGAAAATTCAGCTGCGCATCACAGCAATAAATTAGATTTTAATGTATATTAAAATAGAAAAACGTTATTTTACATCATAATAATGTTTCTCAATATAAAATTTTTTCCTGTATTTTTGATCAAATAAATGCAGCCTTGATGAGCATAAGAAACTCCTGTAAAAAACATTAAAAATCGTTCAGGTCCCAAACATTTGACCGGTAGTGCATATATATATATACATGTGTGTGAATATACACACACACACGCACTACTTTTGAAAGATAAAATAATTTATATGAATATAAATACATATTTTTTTCAGTGTAAGATCTACTTGGTTTACAACATAATACAATAAAATGAGTAACTTCTACAGCACCTGATGCAGTAGCATTTTAAATCATTTCTATGAATTCAAAGCTAAAAATAATTGAAATAAATGAATAATTGAAATGATTTAAAAATATTTTAAATCAGTGTTGTCGATCTATGGAGTGGAAATATTCAATCCACACTGCAGATTTTGTCATCTGAAGATTGTTATGACTAAACACAGGTCAGTGTGGAACGTCCACAAGTCAGAACAGGTTTTTAAATATCTTTGGTGCTTGATCACACTCTGGTATTTGTTGTCGTTCCTGACGTGTATAAGGTTTGGTTCAGGTCTGAAGAATCTCGGTGTTTCACAGGTCAGTATTGTTTAAGAATAAAATAGCACGCTAAATAAGTCCTGAAATGAAATTATCCAATAAGTAGAGAATGTAAGGTTGGGCTCCACTCAATTAGTTAGTCATTCTTTGAATACTGTAGCCTCTTGTATTATGTTTTTCAGATGCTATCAGGGTACATTTAGCATAAATTCAACATCATTTTCAGTAGAGAGTACAAGTTAGAAAAGTTAAAATAATGCTACAGTAGCCTACTTCCCAATGATATAAAAATGATTGTATAGATGATAGGTCAATACCATTCCATTCATGCTAAAATACACAAGTAAATTAGGTCTTAAATACTTTATCTGGATGGCAAAAACAGTGCTAGTAGTGCCTCAAAAGTAATTGGAATCAAATAATAACTATTGACCATGCCAACCAAGAGTTGAAAAGAAAAGTTTTGAGTGAGGAAAAGAAGCTGGCAGAGGAATACGGTGAGCGTCAGGTTGCTTCCATCCTTAAAATTTCAAAGACAGCAGTTCATAAGAACAAGATCAAGCTGCACACATTGGGGACAACAAAGCTACAGACCAGCAGAGGGCAAAAACCACTCTCCACTGACCGGGATGACCACCAACATCTATAATATTGATAAAAACTATAATTAAAAATAAAAACTATAAAAGAACAATGTCATGTAGTGGCCATTACAATATACTGTCAAATAAACCCAGTGAGTTATGAACAGCTCTGAACCCTAATATTGCTTTAAGAAGGGGATAGGCCGAGGGCAAAGGTCAGCTCAAATATGTCAAGAGAGACCCCTTAATGCTTTAGGGACAATATAAGAAGGATTATTTATTTTAGTAAACATTTACTTTACTTCAAGAGCTTCGTGAACACGTTTTATGGCTTTAGTTCAACTTTAATAATCCTGGATTGTGTCTCAGAGTCAGAAGCATGTCATTAAATCTCTTGATTCGTATGGATTACTCTCATGAACTTTTTGAAGCTTGAACGTTTTAGTGGAATGGACTTTCAATGGAGGAATAGAAACTCTTTTAGGTTTCATTACATGACATTCAATACATGACAGTGTTCTTTTATAGTTTTTCGTTTTTTTTTTTATTAGAGTTTTTATCAATATTACAGCTTTTATTTATATAAATGATGACAGAATTTTTTATTTTTGGGCGAACCATCCTTTTTAAATTCTTGAATTGTCTTCATATGTATACTGTATGTCTTTAGATGTAATGGCTTCTTTACCACGGTCTCTGTCGCACTTGTCTTTCACTTGTTGGAGTTTGAGCAGGAAAATCCCAGGTCATGTGACGCGGACACATTCAATAAAGATTACAGTAATCCAGCTCAATCTCCTGAACAGGTGCTTAGGCCCAAACTCAGAGGTGTGGATTTAGATTTAGAGATTTAGTGCACATCAAGCTGCACACATTGGGGACAACAAAGCTACAGACCAGCAGAGGGCAAAAACCACTCTCCACTGACCGGGATGACCACCAACATATTCCAATGTCACTCAACAACTGTAGGATGACATTAAAGGGTTAGTTCACTCAAAAATGAAAATTAGCCCATAAATTACTCACCCTCAAGTCATCCTAGGTGTATATGACTTTCTTCTTTCAGACGAATCCAGTCGGAGTTATATTAAAAATTGTCTTTGATCTTTCAAGCTGTTTAATGCCACTCAGCGGGTGTTGCATGCATCAGTCCAAAATAAGTGAAATAAAAAGCGCCCATCCATTAAAAAAAAGTGTCCTTTAAGTGACCTACAAAAAGAATGGCAAACGGCAGCTGGGGTGAAGTGCATGGCGTGGATGGTTCGAAACAGGCTCCTGGGGGCAGAGCTGAAGTCCTGCAAAGCCCTTTTTCAATGAGAAGCAAAGAAGAGCCAGGCTGAGGTTTGCAAAAGATCATAAGGACTGGAGTAAGGTCATCTTCTCGGATGAGTCCAATTTTCAGCTTTGCCCAACACCTGGCCGTCTAATGGTTAGACGGAGACCTGGAGAGGCCTACAAGCCACAGTGTCTCGCACCCACTGTGAAATTTGGTGGAGGATCGGTGATGATCTGGGGGTGTTTCAGCAAGGCACATTCATCTTTGTGAAGGGAGCGCATGAATCCATCAAATCCATCAAACAAAGCTGAGCTGCTTGCATTTTTGTGCCAGGAGTGGCATAAAGTCACCCAACAGCAATGCGAAAGACTGACGCATGAAAGCTGTGATCAGGGTTATTCCACCACATATTGATTTCTGAACTCTTTAAGTTAAAACGTCAGTATTGTGTTGTTTAAAAATGAATATGAACTTGTTTTGAAACTAGATTTTGACCAGTTGCCATTTTCCGCAAATAAACGCTCTAAATGACCATTTGTTTATTTGGAATTTGGGAGAAATGTTGTCAGTAGTTTATAGAAAACAAAAAAATGTCAATTTTACTCAAACACATACCTATAAACATTAAAACCAGAGAAACGGATTATTTTGCAGTGGTCTCTTCATTTTTTTTCCCAGAGCTGTATCTTTAACAAATCAGAGAGTCAGGGAGAGGTGTTGGTTTGAGTTGTAGATCTTTTCAATAACTCAGCTGGTTTTGATTTCTATAATGTTATCCTCAGTTTGTCAGACATATATTAATTACGTCCTCGTTAATTAAGAGGCTGAATTAATTTTTTAATCATTTGTCTCATAAGGACCATTTAAATGGAACTACTAAAGGTAAAAGAAATGATTAGTTACTGGATGTAAGATATACACTTTTTCTTATACATAACTACTGTACATTTCAACCAAAATTTAGATTTGTTTAAAAAAAGGTCTAGTGCATCAACTACCAAAATGTATGTCTTTAGATGTAATGGCTTCTTTACCACGGTCTCTGTCGCACTTGTCTTTCACTTGTTGGAGTTTGAGCAGGAAAATCCCAGGTCATGTGACGCGGACACATTCAATAAAGATTACAGTAATCCAGCTCAATCTCCTGAACAGGTGCTTAGGCCCAAACTCAGAGGTGTGGATTTAGATTTAGAGATTTAGTGCACAGCAAACAACATCTAGCCTCCCTTTCGCTAAAGGACAGTGTATAATAGTGCGTCAGTATTGACGCAATCCTATTAAATGTACTGAGATATCAAGTTAAAGACAGTACGGTTACACCTGTGAGCAGTGGAATATCATAATATCATCAGTGGCCTACAGCTGTGCTCAAAACACTCATGGCTGTTATACATCTCCTCAATATACGGCATCAATTTGTGATTTATAATCCCATTATCAGTTTGTTCCTGGCAGATCAGGGCAAGGACTCAGTGTTCTGCCCATTAGTTATAGGCCAATTAGTGCTGGACACTATTCAAACATAAAGCAGAGCATCTCTGGCTCTGTTCAGATCAGATGAGTATCTTGTATTCAAGATACAAATGAGATGGTACAAATTCATATGAATTAGCCAACAATTTGCCAAAATGTAAAGTAGTTACAAAATGCCATGTGATTGTGTTGGCTGTGTTTAGAACAGAATACTACAATATCTCAGTACTTACAGAATACGGCACAGTATACACTGTCAGCACCTGACCCTGTTTAATTTAGCGAGAGGAATCAAGTTAGGCAGGATGGTCAAATAATACATCAAAAAGGAGATGGAAGTTTAAACTGAGTGCGTTGCATTATTGGATATTCCACACAGTAAGCTCTTGTGTGCTGCTGATTTTGGCACATGTAGGTCAGGCTGATATGAAATGCATAACATTTGCATACTGTGCACAGTATACATACTAAATACTGCAGCAATAGTGTGCTGTTCCAACTTAATAATATGCATACCGTGTGCAAAGAGTGCATATTTTCTGCATATACAGAATAGATTCATTAGATGTCCTATACTACATTTGTCAAAATGAGCAGTAAAAAAAAAAAAAGATGTAAATGTGTGAAATATTGTATCCCACAATTCAATGAACTTGACGTTCTATTTCCAGTATGATGGATGAAACTGAAGTAGTATCAACTACATTCATTATTTGACAGGACTGCCAATAAATAAGATATTTTTTTTTATATATAAAACTGCATTAAAAATGCTAAATAAACTACTTGAATTAAGCAAAAAAGGTCATGTGACAACAATGCATACAGTCTGAAATGCTTATTGTGGAAAGCCTACATTTTTCTCCAATATTTATTTTTAAATAAATAAAGATATTTACTTGCATCGAATAAAGAATTTGAACACTAAAATTCTAAAGTGACATAAAAAAAACTTTAGATGGACCATACATTATATTTATTTTGCATCGCTAACGCACACAATAAAACATACAAAAGGATCATTCCTGTATCAATTCAATCAGTTCAAATCTCATAAATGCACTGTTTCGCGCTTAAACACATTGGACAATTTTGAAAAACATTCAAGAACAGATTGACCAAAAACAAGTCGAACACACAAACGCCATCTAACCAGATAATGTAGCATCTTTGTATGCAAAACAACTGCAGAAATCATTTCACAACCAACCACAGAGATCAGCCGGACCAAAAAGTACTTTTACTGACTTCTATGCAAATTACGAAACTGGAGGGGGAATTTCCATACAGGATCAGAGCAATAAATCACCGCAGGGTAGAAGATAATGAGAGGGGTGGAGAGGAGACATTTTCTGGGAGGAACTTTCTTCTGTTAATAAGAGGGACTGAAATGGATGCATGAAGATGCTGGATGTAGATATGAAATAGTATGATTACAGAGGGCCAGAGATGGCAAAAACACTTGGATTCAAAGCTGAGAGGTGTGTCAAGGCACAATGTGTGAAGTTCAGTGCTGATTTTGGTCAAAGCACCTAAAACCTTGCTGGTTGCATATCAAGATTTTTTTTATTTTTTCAATTTTGCTCTCAGAATTGGACCAAATAAGAAGGTTATAAATTGTAAAAGAGTGTTCAAATCGAATCGGGACTTCTATAAACGCTGGGAATTAAAAAAGATCTGCTAGTGTGAGAAAAAAAGATTTCAGAGCTCAAACACTCAAGAGGTAGAAGAGATTCTCTCTCTGCTTATTTGGAATTTGGGAGAAATGTTGTCAGTAGTTTATAGAAAACAAAAAAATGTCAATTTTACTCAAACACATACCTATAAACATTAAAACCAGAGAAACGGATTATTTTGCAGTGGTCTCTTCATTTTTTTTCCCAGAGCTGTATCTTTAACAAATCAGAGAGTCAGGGAGAGGTGTTGGTTTGAGTTGTAGATCTTTTCAATAACTCAGCTGGTTTTGATTTCTATAATGTTATCCTCAGTTTGTCAGACATATATTAATTACGTCCTCGTTAATTAAGAGGCTGAATTAATTTTTTAATCATTTGTCTCATAAGGACCATTTAAATGGAACTACTAAAGGTAAAAGAAATGATTAGTTACTGGATGTAAGATATACACTTTTTCTTATACATAACTACTGTACATTTCAACCAAAATTTAGATTTGTTTAAAAAAAGGTCTAGTGCATCAACTACCAAAATAGCAAATGACGGTTTTGTCATGTTATAATCTAAACTAAATACCAGAAGCTATTCAAAATGACATGTGTTTTCTATACATGAACACTCCATATTACTAAGTGTTACAAATCTAGCATCACAGCTGTCATATAGCAGGGTGATTATAACTAACTAAAATTAAAACTATTAAAAAAACTTAAATAAAAAAAAAAGCTGAAATAAATTAAATGTATTTTATTTCAGCTAGTTATTACACTCTAACAAATGCTGGGTTAAATACAACCCAGTGCTGGGTAAATGAAATAGTATGATTACAGAGGGCCAGAGATGGCAAAAACACTTGGATTCAAAGCTGAGAGGTGTGTCAAGGCACAATGTGTGAAGTTCAGTGCTGATTTTGGTCAAAGCACCTAAAACCTTGCTGGTTGCATATCAAGATTTTTTTTATTTTTTCAATTTTGCTCTCAGAATTGGACCAAATAAGAAGGTTATAAATTGTAAAAGAGTGTTCAAATCGAATCGGGACTTCTATAAACGCTGGGAATTAAAAAAGATCTGCTAGTGTGAGAAAAAAAGATTTCAGAGCTCAAACACTCAAGAGGTAGAAGAGATTCTCTCTCTGCTGAGATTAATATTCTTGTAGTAGAAACACTCTGATGATTATCAGTTCTCAGTCACAGTATTTGATGATCCATAACGGTGCAAATCCAGGCATTCAATTCACCAACACATCAAGAGAATATGTTATACTGTATAAAATGCGTACATTATGGCATGCTATGATATGCATACACTGAATCTTTTTAGTGGTTTTGATGGCCATTTGTACTTGCAAAAACCAAGTTTATTATCTCACGTTATGAATACAGGCAACCTTATGTGAGTCACTTGACATTTGAGCAAAAACAGACACGATATGCACTGAGAAGAAGTTCAAGCACAATGGAAGACTGAATTCAAGCAGCAATTATACTGTAAGTAAATAAATAAAACATCTACAATACATGATCTAGAACAGGTTTACATAAGGTGGGAGGGAAATGCTACGGAAATGTTATGGAGCTGGTTATCGATTTACTTACTTATAGATACAGTATGTTCATATTGAGTTACACAATACATAATGTAATGAGTAAACTGGGACATTGCGTTTTGTTTTGGTGATGCTGTTTCAAGCTCTTTGTGCTGGTTATACCCTGGATTACATTTCAGCAAAGAATAGGTAGCATTTCCAGCATACTCCGAATACATATTTTCAGTAAAAACAAAACCCTGTCTTCTGCAAGCACCCAGCGAGCGATTGCTCAACGAGAAATAAGACTTTTCTGAATTCAGAGGGGGTTAATGTCTATGAATTCATCAGCACAAGTTTAACATGATTTACTGTAAACATCATTACGAAATGATATGCTTTTCCCCTTACTAAAAAAAAAACGTGTAAAATTTCCAATGTTGATTAAATCAGGAAAACAAAATACTATGTAGTATATTATACAATAAATAATAATTCTCAATTATATTTACTATAGAGTCTGCTGTAAAACTAAATAATGCCAGCAAACTAAAATTATGGCACAGCTTGTTTTCATTAAAGAAACAAAGTCAAGTGTTTTATATTGTGATATGGAACGAGTCGTGTATCCAGCTGTCTTTGGATGTCCCGTTTTTAGGAGATGTATCGTTTCCATCTGGCGTTTCGGCTGGCGTCATACCGGACTCAGTATAATATTCCTCATCTTCATCAAAATAACCGTTCTCCATCCCGTAGGGTCCATCCGCACTGGACACAGCGGAGAGGTCCTGGCAGCTGCCCTTGTACTCCTGGATGGACTCGTGAAGGGACCAGAGCTGACAGAGCAGGGACATGTCCTGCTGCCGCAAACCCACCTGCGCAAACAAACTCTAATGAGTGCTTATGGAAACATCAAAGGGACAACTCATTGCACACTTGAACAAAGTGACCCTTACTTTGAAATCAATCTGTGGTATTTAGTCAAATAATGGATATTTTGTGTTTGCATTCCAAACCTTATGTTCTTTAGGTTTAGCTTTGTTCTGATATTGTAATGATTTGAACCTTTCCCAGTGGTGGTTCAAGTGTTACAGCAAAAGGTAATGCACAAATATACTCAAAAATAGATTCAAACAGAACCTGTCGTTTTTAAATGTTTAAGCCGAGCATCACAGATAAGATAGGAATGTAGGAAACAAACATGTTTGTTCAACACATTCAAACTGAACATTTTTGGGCAACACGGAGTAGTTCTGAATATATGAACCGAACACTCAAATCGAACAAATTTTTGCGGATCATGGTCGCGTTCAAAACATCTGAAGCGATCATCTGTGGCCATCGCAGGCGAGTTTCGAATGTATGAACCGAACACTGGAATCGAACATAAGTAGCGAACATTTTTTGTTCATCACGCGCACAGTCGGAACATTTGAATCTAACACTGTTGAGAATCAGAAGTGTTTTAAAAAAAAAAAAAAAAAAAAAATTGAAGATCAGGTTCACTTTCAAACCATTCAAAGCAAAGATTTTTGGGCATCACGAATGTACGAAACCGAACAATTTTGTTCATCACAGGTGAGACAGAAAAAAAAAAAAATTCGAGTCGAACATTGTTCGACTAGTGGACTAAAGGAGCATTAAAACATTAAAATGAATCACTTAGGATTATGGTTATGTTAAAAAAAATCTGAGGTGGACATTTTTGTGCATCACAAACTAGCATTTTGGGCATCACTAGTACACTCAAAACATGTGAATCATATTTTGGGCATCACAGACATTTGTTCATCACTTGCGCAATCGGAACATTCTAATGGGAATCAAAGGGGTGTTCAAATAATAATAATAATAATTGGGCATCACAAGTAGGCTACAATCAGAACATACGAATCGAAAATCGCTGGGAATCACGAGTATTAAAAATAAAATAAAATAAAACATTTTCCAGGATCACGGTCACCTTCAAATTATTCGAAGCGAACATTTTTGGGCATTACAGACTAGTTGCGAACATTCGAATCGATCAATCTGGGCATCACAGGCGCGTTCAATTCCTTTCATATGACCGTTAAGTTCCTTCCGAACTTTCGAATCGATTCGCGTCCCAAAAAAGTTATATCCGTGACTACGCTGTCCAAACATGTTGACTAGATAGGAAGGTCACTAGGCTTTAAAACACAGCCACTGACAAGGTAAATGAACGCCTGCAGTCGGGAGAACAGCTGTTGCTTACTATTCTGAACCCTTACCATCTCTTTTCTGAGCAAAGCAAGGGCGGCATCCAGGTTTGCTGGTTTACTCGCCAGCAGATTGTCCGTGTTATTCCTTCCTCGGCTCAAGTCGTCCTGAATCATGGTCTTCTTCACATACATCCTCTCCATCTCTCTCCACGAGCCGCCGCTGGAGTTGAGCAGTCCGCTCAGGCTCTTGGGCAGCGGCGGCAGACCCTCAATACAGGCCAGTACACCGCCCGCTGCTCCATTCCCAACCTTACCATTCATACTAACATTCACAAATAGCACGCTCTGGTCACAGACGAGTGTACAGTAACGGCATGTGATAATTTTCTTAAAGACCTTTACACCCTGACGTCGAAAAACCCATGTAACAGCCACTGCTCCGAACAACACTATAAGGCTGCAACTCGCACTTCCTGTCGCTTTAAAGAGACCCAGAGCAGACTGGGCGTGGCCGCCGATGACGGACAGCGAGGTCATTGAATATTCATGAGAATTAAGTTCTGAATTAATCTTTTCTTCCGATCAAAGCGCAGCCAGAGCTATTGTCTGGTAACCTACATTTTCATCAGATGTATGACATTATTTGGACTTGCTACTGACCTGTTTGAAAAACAAAACAAAACAGTAATTTTAGGAAAAACAAAATAATAATAAAATAAAAGAAATAATCAAAGTAAATAAATAAATATATAAATAACACAAATGAATGAATGAATACATAAATAAAAGACCAAAGATTTTGCAATCTGTTCTCAATTTTATGTTATTTATTTATTATTGTTTTTTAAATATACATAATATTATTTGGATTTGCTACCGACCTCTTTGGAAAACAAACAAACAAACAAAAAACAAACAAACTAAAAACTTTCATTTTAAGGAAAACAACACACACACACACACACACACACACTTAAAATATTTAAATCAAAATTTAATCTGATCAAAGCACAGACCAAGCTTTTGTCTGGTAACCTACATGTATAATATTTGGATTTGCTACTGACCTGTTAAAAACAAAACAAAAACAAAATTTTAGAAAAAAGTAAAATAACGCCCAAAAATAAATAAAAACCCAAAGATTTTGTAATCTGTACTTGGTTTTGGTACTGACCGGTTTTAAAAAAAATATACATAATTTGAAGAAAAACAAAATTATAATAAAATAAAAAAATAAATACATAACATAAAAGATGAATGAATGTAGTTTAAATAAATAAATAATAAAGATTTTGCAATCTGTTCTCAAAAATTGTTAAAAATATGTGTATATTTTAAGTATATTTGTATATAAACATGGACTTAAAATAAATTCACTTTTAAAAAAAGTGTTAAAAAACATATACATACTTTTATAAATACAAATGTGTTGCATCTCTGATGTTATATTGTAATTTAGCATTGGTATTTTGATTACTGGGTTAAATCCAGATCACAGTCCTCTAATGGCAGCTTGAGAGGACATTGGCAGGAAATGGCCAGATGAAGTGACTCAGGGTGAGGTCAGGGCCGGAATCCCGACACGGAACAAAGGTGTCAGCAGCAGGCAGATGGTGAGCACGAGCAGCCACCGACCCGCCCCTCTGACACACACACACACACCCAGCTGCAGCTGGACACAAAGCACTGACATGAGGCCATTACAAAGACAGCTGCATGTGCACACACAAAGACAAAGCTGCTAAACTTCACGGCCTCCTTTACCAACCAATGAACTACATACACACAATGAACACAAAAAATGAAATCCACAATATGGTTGAAACTGTTATCGATGTTGGAGACTCTTGAGAACAGTGCAGTAGGATAAATATCTGACCATGGGGACATTGTGTCATGTAAAAAAAAAACAAAAAAAACAATGTAGACCCAAACAATTCACTTTTTACTGGCTCTTATGTCATTTTTCTGTTCTGTACTGTATCAACACAAAACACGCATTACGATGAATATGACACGCCATGATATTCTGCTTGGGTACATTTGGCTAAGATCCATTTACAGTATGTTTTCATGTCATCATCATATGTATAATATAATGGGTCAAATATTAAATACAACTTTTCAGTTTTCAATCACCCTCCAGGAAGTGACAATTTTTGGAGAAAAATAACAGTACAGACAGCTGTGTGCGATTTTTTTTGTGTGGTAGCTATTAGTTGGTTTGTGTCACTCTAAAACATTCAATCCTGTTTGATATAATGACCCAAATCAGTCGGCGCTTAATCTTTTAAAACTTCAGCTCTTATTTCAATCCTGTTAAATTGTTAACACAATTAAATTAAATTTAGCTTGACCTCAACGTATTTTTGCAAGGGGCCATTCACACAGAATGCGTTTTTATTCCACTGTGCTGCTTTTCCATTGTTTTTCTATGTCAACACATGCTAGATGGACGTGTTTTAGGGCTGCACGATAAATATCGCATGATATTTAATGCGCATCTCGTCAGTAAAGCCGGTTCTGTAATCAGCGGTAAATCTCTACACATGCGTGCTTTCACGTGGAGCAGCATTTACTACACAGAGCCGTTGTTCACTGACAAGCTGCGCAAAACATGCGCAAAATAGTGTTTGTCTCTCAAGTCTTTCGCAGCATCTTGCGCAGTGTTAATAAAAACGCAGTGCTCAAGGTAAAAGAAGTTCAACGTATATTTTGCGTTTTTTTCAGTTTACTACCACGGCACTTCACTTTTCTATTTCTACACTTTTTTTCTTTTTGCAGCATCTCAAGCATGACACGGCATTTTAAAAATACGGTACTCAAGTTCAAATTAATTCAACTTCGTCAAGAGACAAATGATTCGAAGTGAACATTTTTGGGCATTACAGACTACTTGCGAACATTCGAATCAAACATTTTGGGCATCGTAGGCATGTTCAAATCGTTCGATATGAACATTAAGTTCCTTCCAAACTTTCGAATAGATTCGACCATTTTTTTTCCCGACACATTTTGTGTGAACGGAATCCCGAGTCTACTTTATTCTGTAACGATACTTCCTTAAAATTACAAACAAGCATATTCATTTTAAAAATGTTACAGAGTTAAAAAGGTATCAGAATGATCCACATGTAAAACTCAGTGAAAATATGTAAACAAAAGAGTGTTTCACAAAGACAAAGGGCTACCGAAATACTTAATAGAACATTTATTTCAACAAAGTTAACTACAACAGTTTACAGGCAACATGGCAAACAAATTAATCAGGCACAATTTTGGGGTTTTAAAACACGATAGAAAATCCACTTAAAACATACAAACATTTATAACCACTTAATAAAATTCTCACTTTTATCTTAAAACGGAGTATCAATATAAAACCATTTTAAAACAAAAAATTTTGCCCTAAATTGGCCAACAATAAATTGTGCAAAGTTTCGCTCCCAACAGAGAATGATGCATTAACAGCACGGTTTGCCTCGAGAACTTGTTAAAACGGCATGCATACATTACGAATGACAGCACCGACGCCTGCAGCACCTCAAACACTAAACAAATCAATGCGTCCTGCCTCTTTTTACGAAGGTAAATCAATGTTACGCTCACGGGCCTATAAGTGAACCACGCCAAAAGCAACATCTGCGTGTTCTACAGGTAACCTGAGCAGCGTGAACTCGTCATCAGGCATTGTTTCCTTCTAAGGTGGATCGCTGGATCTGAAACACAACAATACTCGTGACTTAACTATATATCATCACATCAGGAGGTTTTAACCTGCACACCCAATATTGACTTCTGGGTGGGGTTAGTTTTTGAACGTGCGCATTCCTCTAGAGCACAAAGTAGATGTGAAATTATTATGCAGAAGGTGGCACAAGCTCCGCCCCCAATCATGGCCAACCTGACAGAGCTGTTATTGATGACACCGAGATGTAAGCAACCTTGCAAAACCTGATCCGGCAGAAAGCTAAGCACATCTAAACCCCACAGCGGACAGCCAAACGCGTGCGAAATTCAGTACTGCTGATTCGACATGAACCGCGGACATCAAGGACAGTGAGTGACGCCTCTTTAAACCGCTCACTCAGTTTCATCTAAGCTGTCAATCGCACCCAACAGTCTTCCCATGATGCAAATGCTCTTGTTACAAAACCGAGGTAGAATAAGTCAGTAACTGCACAAAAGTACAAAAGGAAATGTGGCACGCTTTTTAGGGTATTGTGCTACCAATGACTTACATACATTTATTTTAACTATCGCTTATAGCTATTGCATTGGAATTAAAATATCTCACCACTATGACATAAAAATTATTTATTATCTTTCTATTCGAAGCTATACCTGAGATATGAATATCATAGTAAACACCTCTCCTAGCTTTACTAAAGCCCTATGGCCTGTACTTCCTTTCAGTGACTATGACAGACAGGAATCCAGATGTTCATTAATTGTGGATTCAGGTACGTTGATGTGGCACACGGGGCAGTGGACGGTGATCTGGATCGGAGGATTGTTTGCTTGCTGATCCCTGACTGCAGGCAGAACCGTGTCTTCCACCTCCTCTCTCTGCTGCACTGTGGACGTGGCGGACTTGTCATTTGTCCGCTGGAAGTAATCAAAGATATGTTCCGATTTACGCTCTTCCCACGATCTCTTCTTGGCTCCTGAAGGCGTCGTCCCTGATGTCCGGGGGCTGCCAAAGCTTCTAGGGCTTGGAAAGTTGGATTCAGGCTTTTCGGAGCCTCCAAAGTGCTTCGAACTGGACGCTGAAGTAGTTGTTGAAGTACGTGAACTTTGGGGACTGCCAGTGTTTCGGAATCCTGAGCTCGTAGCATCTGATCCTAGTTTTTGGTTACTTCCGAAGGGCTTTGAAAAGTAACCCGGTGTGCCAGTTGCAGACTTTTGGGGGCTTCCCAAATCTTGGAATTTCGAACTTTGAGCACTGCTTCCGAAATATTTGGAGAGATGCGACTCTATTGAGGTAGGCTTTGGCACTGTGGCACTGTATGAATGATGGTTATTGATCAGGCTAGTTTGCCCGTCTAAGGCACTAGACGAAGATGGTCCATTGCATTTAGCAGGGTTTGCTGTTGAGGCATCAGTGGCAGGCTTGGAGGAACCAGCCGTACTGGCTGCTCTCTCTGGAGATTTGAGGACTATGGCCTGGAAGAGATCTCGTACCGACCTCTGCTTGCCTCTTAAGTCATTGACTTTGGCAATTCTCACAGGTGAGCCATTGACGTTGATGAAGGCATTAGTGTTACTAACAGACTTTCTGCGGGGAACATTCGATGCACCTGAGCTGACTCTTTTGAACGAGTTTGCCTCGATGGGCTGTAGTCTTGGAAGAAGCGGTGAGTCAGGAGGAGAGGCGAGAGGTTCGGGTTGAGCTTTAGGAGGACTCTGACTCTGCTTGTCCGTGGAAGTCTGTGTGTTCCCTCCAAGAATAAACCCTCTCCCACTGAATGGAATGACATTTCTGATGTCTTGTGAGCCAGAGCCTGCAACACAATACATATAGTTCAGTCATATAAAGCTAAAATTTGATTGTCCAGAAAAGCGTACAGTGTGGGGCTATCAAAACATTGCTCTTTGTTTGTTTGAGCAACTTGATATTGCAACACTGGCTCAACCAATGGAATTAGTTTGGGGTGGGACCATCTGTTTGTTTGACCAATGGCAGACAGGATTTGTGTTCATGAAGCCTTAAGGTGCGTTCACGCCTTTGTACAACCCGTAATTACTACTTGTAAACTCAGGAATTTCCGAGAGCTGCCACCTGCAATACCTGACCTCTGCAACATCATCTAGAAAATTTTTAAATGGCAGTGACTTCAAAAGTAAAATGTATTTCAGCCACTGATCAACAATGGGACAATACAAGTTTATTAAGCATAACGTCTGTAATTGTTGTTGCAGTTTTGTCTACTAATTACAGAAATTGCACAGATTAATTTTGGCATTAACATTGTTGTCACAGAGCACCATACAGCACCGAACAGAATGTCGGTGTCTTATAGTAATTATAGAAAATATAACATAAAAATAAATTCAGTATGTGTAGAAATTCACATACTTCACCTTCAAAAATTTAAAATAAATGTTCAGACCTTTTTTGATTTCTTTTTTATATTTAGCATTTGCTCTTAAAGATGGTCCATTTATACACCGTTTAACTCTTTCCCCACCATTGACAGAATTTGCCATCATTTATGAGACAACGCTTCACTGCCATTGACGAATTTTTGAATTTTCTGGCTTTCCGTGTTTTCACTGTTATACGGTAGGTGGCGCTATTAGAAATCTTCTGAAAGTGTATTAAAGGGTTAGTTCACCCAAAAATGAAAATTCTGTCATTAATTACTCACCCTCATGTCGTTCTAAACCTGTAAGACCTCCGTTCATCTTCGGAGTGAAGGGGTTCAACCGTAATATTACGAAGCTATGAGAATACTTTTTGTGCGCAAACAAAACAAAAATAACGACTTTATTCAACAATTCGTCTCCTCCGCGTCACCCTGGTGCCATTTTGGAGAGTATCCACTGAACGTAAACAGCGTATGCTATTCTGTGTCAGCTTCGTCACGCGGATACGTTTTCTACGTTGTTTACGCTTTGATTTGAAAGAAAACAACGTAAACCGTGTGACACAGCTGACACAGAATAGCATACGCTGTTTACGTCCAGCTGATACTCTCCAAAATGGCACCAGGG